TTTTTTTTTTCAGTTCAAAATATTTGTTTAAGGATTTTAAAACGGATATGTTTCGTTAGCATATAAATGGACCTACATATGGGTACATATTATGCAGTGAAAAAGGAGTTCAGTTACGTTGGTAACTATAAATCACTTTACTAAACTCGTTTCTCAGTTTGTAGATGATAGACTTTGTTAAAGCTTAAGCTTGGTTACTACAATTCATGCCCGACATAATTGTAGGACCACCCTTTGTTCTTTAGAGCTTCTAGCGTGTTGGAGCACTCTGCGAGTGGCTTTTTGCAGATGTGAAAATGCTGGTACCAGAGTGGATTAGCAGCCAAGTGTACAGCCTCATATGGGGAAAGACGTCAGCAGTTGGGATGAAAGATTGCAGAAGCACAAAGAGTCCAACTGCAATGACATTAATTTGTGGCACAAGCCAGCCACGCGCATCCCGAGATGCATATACATACTTATGTAGATATGTACTAATAGCATGTATGCACATTAGACTGCATCACTCCCCATACAAAAAAAAATCGGTACTATTTTTCCATTGGAATTATAAAATCTATTATATTTTAAGACGTCCAACAAAATTTTTCGAAAAAATATTAAGATTTAAGTGAGCTGGACCAGTTTCAAAATACCTCCAAAAATGGAGTTTTTTATGAATAACAATAGTTTCTTAAAATTTTTTTTTGAAAAAAATCCCCTCAAATGACAAAACGGTTAAAGCTTAAAAAATTTGCATAAAAATATTTTTAAAAAATTAAAAAAAAAATTTGAACGGAATAGTAATGATGAGATTTTTGATGCTGTTTTTTAACTTTTTTCAAAGATTGGTATAAGAAAAACTTGAATAACTGAGCCTAAACTCTTCTGATTTAGACTTAAGAGCTGTCGGTGGAAAGGTATTTTCTCACCCTTTTTATTTCTTTGCTAATAAACTCATTCAAAGGATGAAAGAGAAAGGTAGGATGAACGAACGTCATTCAAAGATGAATTAAGATGTGTTGGTATTTAAAAAAAAAAAATTGGGACACGAATGATTTTTTTTTTGACAGAAAAAAACTGTGAAAATACCTTTCTACTGAGATCACATAAGTCTCAATCAGAATAGTTTTAGCCCAGTTATTCAAGTTTTTCGTAAATCAAACTTTGAAAAAAGTAAAAAACAGCATCAAAAATCTTATTCTTACGATTCCGTTGAAAAGATTTTTAAATATTTTTATGCAGGTTTTTTAAGCTTAATCTGTTTTGTCATCTGAGTGGACTTTTTTCAAAAAGTTCTTTACGAAACTATTTTTATTCATAAAAAACTTCATTTTTGGAGGTGTTTTCAAATCGGTCCAGCTCACTTAAATCTTAATATTTTTCCCAAATATTTTGGTGAACGTCTTAGAATATAATAAATTTTGTAATCCCGGCGGAAAAACCGCAACTTATTTTGGTGATGCAGTCTAATGCACATACATATTTATGTGAGACCATGCATTCATTTGTGTACAACAGAATCCATTCATGCGTTCCCCAAAGCGTGCATTTCGACTCAGTTGTCGCTTTGACAAGTTACATTTGCTAAAGCCTCAGATGCCACAGAAGGAGAAATATATATGTACGTATGTTTAAATGTACATATGTATACGTATTCTTTAATAGAAACGCATTATGGGTTTTCATTTCAACACTTAAATGTTCCGCAACCGCGTAGACCTCGTAAATAAACCGGTTTTCAATAAAAAAATGCAGTAACTTTACGATGTTTACGTACTCACGCGGCACTTAAGCGCTTAGATGAATACCTCCATTAATTTGGCGTTAGTACTTACGCGAACTGTCATACTGGATGCCCTGGAACTCGTGTAGGCACGGTAATGCCGCCAAAGTGCCACGCGGCGTTCGCGGCCAACAAAGGATCGAGTCGAAGTGAGTGAGGCAGTAGGCACTGTCATTGCCGTAGGTCGTTGTATCAGTGTGCTGCTGCAGCAGGCACTGCAGTTCTGTGCTCTCATTAATTGCATCGAGGTTGTCGTAGGGCTCGAATAGCGTCTCGTCGTCAGCACCCACGCCCTCCACTGCACCATCCGTTGCGTCCGACATGTTGACCAGAATCAACACAGCCGGCTGGTT